AGATTCTTGGAGAGACTCAAATAAAACAAATCTCTCATTTGGCATAAGGAATCGGGTATCGAACTAGTTATCGCGTTATTTGATAGGTCTAAAACTTGGATTCTGAAAGGAAGATTTGGAATAGATCTATCAATATGGTTGTTGGATAGGTCTAACTCAGTCAGATTTGTTATGGAATGGAGCCATCTCAACAGCATGCCTCAAATGCTACAATTAGATAGATGCAAATAGTGTAGTGATTTTTATGTTTGAAGCCACTATGGAAATTGGCCTCTGATATCAATGGATGATGACATATAAAGGTATTTTAGTTGAAAAGGAGGGTTCTAATCATACAAATAAGAAAAACATACAAAATGTATGTAAACTTACAACTATTACCAACATTAACTATGTGAATTAAAATGAGAAATAAATGAGTTATATTTTAAACAATTATTCAGTTATTGCATGAAAGAAACATCTTAATTATTGCAACATATAACATATAGTTTCAACGAATACGAAAATGAGGTAATTACATAATATTTTATCAAACAATGAAAAAAATCATAAACTTTTTATTCTTCTAACCAGTACAAAAGTACATTTTTTCAAATATATTATTATTATAAATAAATAAAGAAGTAATATTAAATAGTTTATCTTACTTGATTATATTAGTTGTAGTCTAATAAATAAGATATTTGATTGCAACTTCATTATATAAATTATGTACAAAAAAAATGACGCAATTCATATAAATGTGAATTAATTCTTTTAATAAATAAATATTATTTGTAAATAGAATAAGAAACAAATACACGATAGTAATTCAATAGTTTTGTAATTAAAAAAATAAAAGCTTTGTAATACATAACGTAAATGTTAATAATAACTTCGTAATAATATAGTTCACAGAGCGACTAAGAGTATCATAATATAATAGAATTTTAATTCTTATCTTACATATATTTTAATAAAAGATATCTTTCTTAATATTGTCTCATTGTTTTGCTTTGTTTTCTTGTTTTGCTATTTTTTTTTTCAAGAAAGGATCTTTATTCTGAATTTACGAAGCATTATGTATGACGCAAAAAAAAAAAAAAAAAATTGGACAATAAAAACATTAAAGATGTTATTAGGCACATAAGTACTGTAGTGAAAGATATTATGATAAACAACACTAAAATTGTTGAAACAACCAAGATGGTCAATGATTTGCAAACAATAGGTTATATAGTTCGTTTGCCTTCCAAATAAATAACATTGAAAAAAATCATTCAGGGCAGAATTTTTTTTTCAAACAAGTCGGTGATTGAATACCTTGATCATACAATAATGAAGTTTGATTATATGTTTGGCCATGATTTTTATATGTTAGTGAATAATGTAGACGTTTTGTCAAATGAATTAAGAAAAAAATTGCAACACTATTGATTTACTGGACAACAACTAGTATTAATGTTTCTTATGAAAATGTCGAAACCAAAATGAAAAAAATCACTCTTTAATCATCTATTATAATTAAATAAAATAACTAATGCATCTATAATATTCATTAGGTCCATATTTAGTTGTTTAGTATTTTTTTCCATTTGAGACTATATTTTTGTTGGAGTTGTAATATGTTATTTCATTCTTTTTATATTAGGACTTCATTATGTTATTTAAAAAAAAAAAACATTAGAAGCTCCTTTATTCTATATTTTACTTCATTCCTGCAATGATATGTTTAATAAAATAATCAATTAATTTTACTGAATTCAATCGGCAAAAAATATTTATTACCACGTGTGATGCACATGCACTTTACTAGTGACTTTAAAATGTTACTCTGATTAAAAAATTATGTTTCAACTTTGAAAACATTTTGTTACGTATTATTATGTAAAGCACAATTTTCAATTAAATAAAAATAGTGATGAAAAAAATGAATAAATTATAAAAATATATAAATTCATAATTTAAAGATAAAGAACTATATATATTATGCATGACGTGCATCACTCGTACACTTTACAAGTTATACAAAAATGAACTTAAAAAAAAAATCCACATCAAACTTATAACTCTTAAAATAATACATATAACACCAACATGAAACACACCACAAAGATCACATCAAACACAAGGATACAACTTAAAGGACAATTCAATATGATACAAAGTTGCAAAGTCCCCTTGTAAACTCAAGCTACAGCAGTCTAACTCCAACCCATCATTTTTTCAACAGAGCATCCCTCCACCCGAACAGTGTCTGCCGCCAACTCTTTTTGAAGATCAAAACTCCAAAGTAACCCCATAATCCAGTGGCATCCAGTGGCAAAACCACCAACTACAAATTCATAGAGGTATAACTTATCGGCTGCATTTCCATCATCACCATGCTCCCCACTATTTTTACCTTTCGTCGATGTTCTATTAACTTTGCATTGTTGGGCCAATGGTGCCCCCACATAGTCCAGGGTTTCCCTCATAATTCGAAATTCTGTTGAGTGTTTGAAGTTGAGGTCCCTTCGGGATACGCCCAGACAAATTATTGTTGGACCAACTCAATTGACTCAGAAAGGTCAACTTTGATAAGCTCTCTGGAATTGTTCCAAACAAATATTTGTTGGAAAGATCAAGTGATTCGAGAGAGACCATATCTCTAATCTTCAATGGGATTTGTCCTCTTAGATGATTATGAGACAAATTGAGACCGATCAAGTCAGTGAGGTTTGTTAGCTCCAAAGGGATTTCTCCAACTAGTTGATTACTTGAAAGATCAAAATTTACCAAGAATAATGTATTTTTGCTATACTCCAACACCACTACCTTCAAGACTTCACTTAATGCATTGAGCCCATAGTTTTCAATTGCTACAAGACAGACATTTTTTGTATATATATTTTCCTTTGTGCGAACAATGTCTATACTAGTGTTTACATTACTATTCTTGTAATAAAAATTGCTACAAAAAAATTGGATCATTGCTCGATCACGGCTAAATTTACTATTTATCACTGTCACGATCAAGTCACATTTAGCTTCCTTTTATTGAAAAAAATAAATCTTTTTTTTTTTGTTGCTTATACTTGAGGAAAATAGTTCACCCCACAAGACTAACTTTTTTTTTTTTAAAAAAAAAGTTGATTTAGTGATCAAAATAAACAATTTAAAAAATTCATTTCCTCCAACTAACTCTTAGATCATCAGTAACAAACTAAGAAATGTTGAATACACGAATAATATCATGAAAGTGTTATATGAATGAATGCTCACCGCGAGTGGTTTTATTGTGGATCATTCCCGAAAAATTGCCAAAGCAACGTGAGATGTTTCCGGTCAACCGGTTGTTTGCGAGGTCCATTATTTGAAGTTTGGACATCTGACAGAAATAGGATGGAATGTCTCCGTATAATTTGTTGTTCCTTACCCTAAGAATTGCCAGATTAAGCAGATTGTTTCCAATCCATTCTTGAACGTTCCCTGATAACTTGTTGTCTCCAATATCCAAACCCATTAACTGGGTGCAATTCTTCAAATTTGGAGGGAGTTTCCCTATAAAACTGTTGTTACTCAGTTGCAACCATCCCAATGAGTAAACTCCACTAATCGAGTTTGGAATGGGCCCAGAAAGCTTATTAGATGACAAGGTTGCAACCCTTAAGTAAGATAAGTTAGCCCAACATTGTGGAAGGTGACCTGACAATAGATTATTGGAGAGACGCAGATAAAAAAAATCTCTCAATTGGCATAAGGTAGGGGATATCGAACCAGTTATCACGTTATTTGATAGATCTAAAACCTAAATTCTGAAAGGAATATTTGAAATAGATCCATCAATATGGTTGTTGGATATGTCTAAATCAGTCATATTTTTTATGGAATGGAGCCATTTCGGCAGCATGCCTGTAATGCTACAATTAGATAGATACAAATAGTGTAGTGATTTTTGTGTTTGAAGCCACTGTGGAAATTGGCCTCCGATATCAATGGATGACACATAAAGGGATTTTAGTTGAAAATGAGGGGTCCAATCATCTCCACTCTGAATGTTAACATGTTAAACCCAGTCCTAAATCCTCTAAGTTCGAAAAGCTTCTCAATGTGGGCCTCTGTGAGCGTACCTTCAAAGGTATTACCATATATGTCAATCCACTCCAAATCTGAAAGTTGTCCCACAATAGTTGGAATTGGACCAGGCAACTTGTTATCAGACAAATCTAACCATTTTAACTGCTTCAGTTCGTCAAGTTCTTCAGGCAACTGCCCGTAAAAATTATTGCTCCACAACTCTAGGTTCTCCAAGTTGTGGCTCCAGCATCTTGATAAATTTATTGGGATTGGACCAGTCAACTTGTTATCAGACAAATCTAACTCCTTTAGCTGCTTCAGTTCACCAAGTTCTTTAGGAAACTGCCCGTAAAAATCATTACTCCACAACTCCAAATTCTCCAAGTTGTGGCTCCAGCATCTCGATAAATTTTTAATTAATAATACCGAGATATCTCCATCAAAATGATTATTCCATAGGTTCAATGATTTCAAGTGGCATTTATCCCACAACATATCAGAGATCCAATCTGTGCTGTAATTAAGTGAGTTACCTTCAAGGTTGAGATATTGAAGATTTCTCGACAGGTGTATTGGTTGGAAGAAAGATCAAGAAAACGCAATGAAGTCATGTTACAGAGAAAGCACGGAACACCTCCTTTAAAGAGATTGTTACTCAAATCTTGGTGTTGATATTAGTAGATAGCGTGGAATTTAAGCAACTAGTATGAGGTAGGTATGTGTTATCAAGCCCGCTATGTGACAAGCTTAATATTTCTAAAGAATGAAGTGTACTGAGTACCATCGCAAGGTGATCTTTTGTGGTGCTAAGGTTGACATGACACATATCAAGGGACTCCAGCAATGAAAGATTAGCAGCCCATATGAGATTGTCGACTCTTAGAGAAAATAACAGTCCACCAAGATCAAGTAAACACAAGGTTGAGAGGTTGCCGAGCTGGTGAGGGATAACACATCCAAAGCCTGCATTTGAGAGATTGAGATATTGCAGTTGGTTTAATGATCCTAGGAATGATGGAATCGAGCTGTCCTTGAAATTATTCCTGCTCAAGTCAAGGTACTTGAAATGCTTCATTTCAAGCAAGGAAGAATCAAGTGTTTCACTTTGTAACATGCTATCAGAGCTCGGGTCCCCATAATTATCTAGAACTCAATTTCTAAGATCAAGCCTGATAACATGCCCAGTCGCTTTATCACACTTTACGTCTTGCCAGTTACAACATTTGTATATGGTGTTATTCCACGAAGAAATCCCGTTAGACCCATCCAACAGGCTTGCTTTCAACCTCAGGAGAGATTTCCTCTCCCTTGGAATGCAATCATTAAAAGTAAAATTATTATTTGATGACAGACATAATATGGCGGGCTCAAACATTATTAAGAAAAAGAAGATGACGAGGAGGAGCGTTGAAGAGAACACCATTTTCCCCATTTTATACACACACATATATTTTGATTGGATATAGGCTTGAGAATAAGTATAGGAAAGCTCGCTAGATGTTGGTAGTAGTACATTTA